GAAGGTTTCTAATATCTATAAATGATTTGTTATGTGATAAAGTTTTCGAAAAATATAAAAGATTTGTTACATGATAAAATGTTTTGATTTTATATGTTATACATATCCTTTGTTCTCATAAGTGCATGTTATTATTCACTGAGTCTGTAAACTCACCTTTATTTTTTTTTCAAATTTAGAGCTTAGGTACTTGGTTGGATTCTACTGCTTAGAAGAAGTCATTGTATTTCTGCTGTTTTCGTTCTTAGTTAGAAAAGTTAGTTATTTCAGTTCTGTCAAATTTGTATTTCTGAATTCCATATATAACTTTATTTTATTACAGATAGATTTCTGAGGATATATTGACAGTTGTTTGAAATTATAGATTCGATTTTGTTTCTGATTTTATATGAATTTTTAGTTCAGTTATATGTTAGGTTTGGGGGTTGGAATTTATTATAATTCTTGCGCCAGTTACGGATCCACTTTTCCGGGTCATGACCATTATATATTATTCAACAAATATATTTATACATCATAATAGAGTTTAAATTTGTATTAATATAAATCACTCTCCATGGAAGAAAAATAATCGGCTATTGGATGAAGTATAAATATAAAAGAGAATAGAATGGAAACTATGCTGTCAAACAGTATATATATACATATAAGGGATCATTCAACATAAACATTTACATAAAATCTTAAAACCATTGGTTTAGTTTAATCTAATTGATGAGATTAATTACAACTATATTTCACAAATTAATTATAGTTGTCTTTCTCCAGCTATCTTCCAAATCATTAATTATAGTCTTTTTTTTCCAAAATATTAATTAATCTCATCTATTAAATTTAACTAAATCAATTATATAAAATTTAGTGTAAATATTTTACATTTGCACTAGTATTGATGTTATGACCCTAATTAGAAATATTAGGGAATTTAAATTAATAATTTGGATTTGAGAGCTTACTTGTTTGGATTTGAAGTTTTAGGGGCCAATCTATAAATTGGAAGGGTTTAATTGAGGGAACTAAGGGTTTTGGGGATTAAATTGTGGAATTAGGGAAGTTGGAGGCTAAAATTAAAAGAGTGGGGATACAAATAAATGAAATAAAAGAGTGAGGGCCAAATTGAAAAATCAGGAAGGGACAAAATTGAAAAAAAATGAAGTTGAGAGGACCGGATCATGTCAGAGTTGAAAGTACGGATCTCTAGTCTTTTGTATATTATATTTTATCACTCTCCAAAATTGACATGAGATGGGATATCAGAGCAACCAAGTACGTCATTACACATTTAAAATAAGCAAATATTAATCAAATCATTATAAGTCTTAAAATATCAATATGAAACAATTTAATTAGTATATTGGTAAAAAAAAAAAAACCTATTTGTAATCAATAGATCACTTATATTAAAACCCCTATGAGTAAAGTTTAACTAAAAAAAATAGAAACAGCAATAAACTAACTTTAATATGGTTAAGAAGTTACAAAGAGTATTAAAATAAAATAATTTTTGAACTTGTTATGTTTGTATTTGAATATGGATTTGTGATTTAATGAAAATATCAAGTGTTTAAGTGGGAAAATATTATAATATCCTATCGCATATCGATTTTTCAGAGTGATATGATAAAGTATATGAGAGATTAGAGATTACTCCTGAATAACTTAGATTTAAGCAGTTTTTGTTAATGATTTAGATTCAATAAATTGTTATGTATAATAACTCTCAGATTTTTATATATACAATTTATTTAATGATTATACAGCAAACCAAATCGCTCTATATACAAATTAAAAATAGTTATGTATTATATAACAAATATATTTATACATCATAATAAAGCTTAAAATTATATTAATTAAATAACTCTTTGGGAAGCAAAATAATTAGTTATTAAATGAAATATAAATATAAAAGATAATATAACGAAGACTACGCATTTAAGCAATATATATATGGGATCAATTGACACTAATGTAAATATAAAATATTTACATTAAATCTTATACTATTAATTTAGTCAAATTTAATTAAAAAGATTAATTATATATGTTTTCTAAAAATTAACAATAGTTGCCAGCTATCTTTCAAAACATTACCTATAATGTCTCTCTTTTTAAATTATTAATTAATCAATCTCATCAATTAGATTTATTTAAATCAACAGTATAAGATTTAATATAAGTATTTTATATACACTAATATCAATTAATTTCTTTTCACATATATATATATAATATTCTATTTATATGATTTATTAAATAATTAAACAACAAACCAAGCCACTCTATTTACAAATTAAACTAAATTGTAATTCAAATCCTTCAGGACCTAAAAAAAACTTTTTGGATTCCAAGTTAGAAGCCCCTTCCCCAAGGTGTTCGCTTATCCGTCACCTTTCAGAAAGCTCGTGCATGAGGAGTCCTACTCCATGCTTCTAGTGTGGTTTTTTATATATATGTTTATTTTTTATATTGATATATTTCATTTTGCAAAGTGTAAATCGCAACGTGGGAGGCGGGTTGCCTACTTATATATTTGATCTATTATTGAGTTGTGATCCAGTCCGGTTCGTTAAGATTAGGAACATGACTTTAAATTTAATATTTAAAAATTCTTATAATTTATTACCACACGAACTTACGTGAATACAGTTTAAATTAGAGGGGTAAATTGAAAAGCTTTGCCTGAAATTAAAACCAAATTATTACAAATTAAGTCCGTTCCTAGAGCTTGTTTGACAATAAAAGATTCTTATTTCCTTATTTAACTCTTTTTAATACATGTCTTTTATCGTGTTTGCATAATAATGTAATATATTATGTCTTTTACACTTTAAAAAATAATATTTGAGTTTAAAAAAATTTTAAAAAATAAAAAATAAAAAAATTCATTTTCTTGAGATTGTTTAAATAATACTTAAACCTATTTTTATTATAAAAATTATTATTTTTTATTTTACTAACTGTTGACTAATAGTCGTTTAAATATTTTGTTAAAAAAGATACGAATATAATTTAATTTCATATACATTAATTACTTATCTAATTAAAAATTAAAAAAATTATTTTATTAACTTAAAAATTATTTCTTAAAATTATTATTTTTAATTTTAAAATAAATTTTTTTTAACTTTGATAATTCAATTTAATTTTTTTAATATTAAAATAATTTTATTTATTTTTAAATTTTATTTAACTATTGAAATAAGAACAACTAAGTGTCATTTAAATTAAAAAATAAAATATAAATTATTTAAAAATTCAATTACTCACTATATTTTTTGATTCTTTCAATTTGACCCCATTTAATATTTGAGTTATTACATATGAGGGACCAAATTGAAAGAAAATAAAGAGGTAGATCCTAAGTGTGAAAACACTGCAAGTTGGAGGACTGAATAGAAGGAGATGAAGGTTGAAATGGAAGAAATAAAATTTGAGGGACTAAAATAGAAATAGGCGAGGTCCAATTGAAAACAAGCAAATTTTGGCAGATTAAATGAAGGAGAATAGAAAATTTTGGTCGGTTACTGACTGAAAAATAAAAAGAGGATAAATTTAGGCCATTGGAGGTTAAATCTCACACACACACACACGCACACACACACACACACGTATGTATGCCCCTTGTAGAAGCCCTTAATAGATTTCTGATTTTTATCCTGTTTTATGCTTGAATTTTTGCTTCTAGCCAACTAGAGGTTCTGCACAGTTGTGTTGTTGAGAAATCAACCATTTCTAACCCACAATTTTGTTAAGTTGATTTTAGAGATCAGTTTGTCGGCCTTGATTTTTGAGTTTCTGCCCATTGATTGAAGTTAGGGATTGAGGAATGGCTTGATTTGGGATTTTATAGCTTTCAGGTCGAATTAAATTATTAGAAATGTGATTTATTATTTTTAAAATTAAAATAATAAATTTAAAAAATAAATTTTAAATTAATTAAATAATATTTTAATTTTTAATTACATGGATGATTAAAGTAGATAAAATTGAGTTATGTTGACAACTTTTTTAACAAAATTGTTAATCAATTGTTAGTCAATAGTTAATTAAAAAATAAAGTAATTTTTCATAATAAGAATGTATTTAAATATCATTTAAATAAATTTTGATAGAGGAGAATTTTTTTATCCAAAATAAAGGAATATATATATATATATATATATATAGTGTTAAACAAGGATGAAGTGACAATTTTTATCAATTAAAGAGACGGGTCTTACGTAATATAACGTACAAGTAGGGGGTTTAATATTGATTTTTCATTTTAAATAAATATTGGTAAAAAGAAGGGACACTACAAAAATTTTGAAATCAGCCTCGTCTACTTGTTTTTAATTTTTAATATTAGCCAGTTATATAACAGAGGGTCATTTTTTAATAGTCAATATATAAATTATATTAAATAAAATCTTCACAAGATAAAATATTCTTAAGAAATTAAAATATTAATTTTTTTATTAAAAATAAAGAGAAGCACGTTTACTTTGTTCGTATTTTAAACTTTATACTATTGATCTTTTATATAATTTTTTTAAATATTAATTTTATTTAATATATATAGTAAGCTTTTTAACTTTTCATGTTACGGAGAATTTATTTTATTCTTTTTTTTGGGTGATCATTAATGTGTAGTTGCGTACACATAATTCAATATTATTAATAATAAAAACATTAAATTCCATAACAACTTTAGAAAGGTATTCAATACGTGGCGATGCAATATATGTATACATGTGCATACACCTTCGTTTCATGACGTTTTTTTCCCTTCCCGAAACACAACCGCGGCTTTTCTGCCACCTCTGCGTATCTTTCCGCGCAGCGAGAGAGAGAGAGAGAGAGAGAGAGAGAGAGCACGAAGAACCAGCGCACTTCGCCACCTCCCATCCATTCCTCGCACGCCAAACAATAAACAACTTAATTTGGGGCATGATGCTGGTCCGACTCCTATCACCAGCAACGAAGGCCTGAGATCTCTCCGGCGGCCATTTGCGGAAATGGGTTCCAGCCAGATTTCGGCGGGAGCCTCCGCGAGCGGCGGCAGGGGCCACAAGTGGTCGGCCTTTGCCTTCTTCGTAGCATCGTTCCTATTGTTGGGGGCTATTGCGACCCTGTACGCCTGGTTAATCTTTACCCCTCGTGTCCGAGCGGGCATGTCTCCAATTGGGTGCCAGGAGGACAATGAAGGTTCTTGGTCGATCGGCGTTTTCTACGGCGACTCGCCCTTATCTCTCAAACCCATTGAAGCTGTAGGTGCCTCTGGTCTACATTTACAAAATCTGTGCTCTATTTTCTTCTTTTCGCCGACTATCTGGGTTTCAAGAGATCGTTTTCATACTTGTGGATTTTTGCAGAGTGGCAAACTCATTCCTCGTATTCACCAAAAAATATTAAAAAGTATCTGCACCATAACCAGAGAAACCGAGTGAAATTCTAGTTACAAATTTCTGTTGAATACGTTTCTGTCGCATCGTTGCTGGGTTTTTTTGATCGAATTCGTGACTTCTTAACTAGTTATGAATCAGAACGTGACGATTCACACTATTCCCTGAAACCCGTTGAAGATGTAGGTCTTTTATTCTATATATTACAATATTTATGGGCTCAATTTTCTTATACTCTTGTTATCTGAGGTCGAAGACCTATTTGTGGATTTCTAAGGCGACTTGCCTTTTTGTTTTCATAATAAAACACACACGCATACATACACACTACAAAATATTTGCTTTCAGAACATGGGTATTTTGGATATTTATTCATTTTCTGATTGTTGGTTCTCTGTACACATACAAAATCTCTATGCCCTGTTACCTGGGATTCAGGGCATTGGTATTTGTAGGGATTCTTGTCATTTTTCTGACATCGCTCTGCTTTTGGTTGGTTTTGGATATGATGACCGTTCGGTTTTGATGGGGGTTTGATCTTTGGTGGTTTTCCTTGTGCGTTGAATGTGGTGACAGGTAAACATATGGAGTGACGAGGGTGCGGCCTGGCCTGTAGCCACCCTGTGTTAACGTGTGCTTCAGCTTCTGATGCTGGATTCCCCAGTAAATTTGTGGCTGACCCTTTTCTTTTCTTTATATTCAGGTCAATTCCTTTTAGCATTCTTTTTCTCAATTAACTCAAATTATGCATTTATGTATCATGTACACAGTTACATGTAAGTATGTCAAAATACTTGGACACTGACTGTTATTAGAGTTCAAAACGAAGATAATATTGTCATTGTTTGAATATCAGATGTTGGTTTTGTCCTTATGCTTGATTGCACAGGAAGAAAACTATTGAAGCTCAGGGGCAAATAAATTGGTGTATTTGTTAATTGCATATTAATGGAAGTGCAAAAAGAACTAATGGAGTCAAACACCCCTCCCCCTTCTTGTCTTTTTACTGTTAATCTCACTTTCATACTCTGTTCTACCATTGATTTGGCCAAGTAATTGTTAACCCATTTTAGCTGCACGAAAAGTTTCCATGTACTGTTTATCTTTGCAAATGTGAATTAGTCTATGTTTCTGCGATGATAATATTTGAGCAGAGGATTGGGAACATCAAAGACAATTCCATAGTTGTGGATGGGAAAAGATATGATTTAAATACAAAACAAATTGGTTCAGGAGTATTAAAGTCTTTTTCATTGGTGACTTTTTGACTTCTTCATGTGGTTTAAATTGCTACAGTTTATTGTCATTTGTGAGATTTCACATAGGGATTATGTCATTTTATGCTTGCCCTACATTGCTACAAAGTATTACACGAGTAAGAAGAGTAATAATAATGTAACATTTTGAGGGACGTATGTAGAGACTTTTAAAAAGAAATCAATAAGTGGGAAAGAAGAAGTCCAATAGAAAACTGATAGCTGCCCCTTATGAAAGTGGGGGGGGGGGGGGGGGGGTGGGGAGGCACTTAGTGTTCTGAAAGAAGATAATAATCCCACAAATTCTTCCTATACCAAAAATCAACCTAGTAATTCAACATTGTTTAATTGTGTTCCCTTTGGATGTTAGAAAGGCACAGCTTGCTTTTTATGTATGCGTGCTTATGTGTGTGTGTTGGGTGGCAATTGGGTTCCTATACATTTCATTTAGTTTTTTATCACAGAAGGGGTTTTGTTTTCATTTTTGATTTTGATTAAAACTAGTGCTACTGAAAGAGTGATATCGTTGCGAATTATGTTTGAACTAGCATGTTTCAAAACGAGATACACTTTTTAAAACAATGGACCTAATAATCCAAAGTATATATGTATTTTAATTCTATTCTTGTCTTTTAAATTCCTAAATAGTGAAAAAATGAATACAATAAATTAAAATATGGTAAAATGGAGTACGAAAATGGAATGATATAAAATGTGGTGGGCTACACTACAATTTTGATGAGGTGACCAAGTTAGGAAATGGTAATCTTGGTCAACAAGTTCCTTTTATTTTTTCTTTTCCCTCTGCAATAGCCTTGGAACTTATTTTACTTCCTTCCTTCTAATCTAGGAGCATGGTTGTTATCAAATGATTGAACTGCTTTGCCATGTCACTTGCTTAAAAAGCTTTGGTAGTCTAATTGCACTCTTGACATAGATATTGATGGTTAACTGAACGATTAATCTTCGTCTTGATGTCCCTTATATGGACTTGAATAGTTGCAAGACTTTATGACAAAAGGTCTCTTGGATAAAATTTGATTCTTCAAGTTTCTTCCTTGACCAACGATTTTTGTGCACATGGACTAGGTCATTAAATCACCAATCATGTTCATCTTATGCTCAAAAAGTTGATGCCATGGATACCTTTCACATATCTTAAAGATGTTTGCTCCTATTTGGTGAAATCGGTGTGAAATAACATGCACCTTTTATGCATGGATTGGTTTTTATATTTGTATTTTTTAGCACATCCAACTAGATGTTTGATGCATTCTGTATTCCCTAAATATGGTTAAATATCCTACATGGATACTTAGTGAAATACATAAAAAACACACTCGTGCGTGCACAAATGCACAGAGAGGTTACTATAAACTTTGGAGAAGATGTTTTGGATGCCATTACAAGCACTTGACTTCCAATGTTCTTGACAGTTATTGACCAGGGGTTTGTGTATGATTTTGTTAATCTTGATCTTGGAGTTTTGTTTTTAGTTTGTAGAACATTGAGGGATGATTAATAATGGCTCCCTTATTTGATGTATAAGGAACCGGTCATATGAATGTTTTCTTGCATGTTTTTATTTAGATGCTACATGAATGAATGCTGGTAATGGTGCTTGTCAGACTCCCAAAATGGATGGCTTCAAATTGTTATTATTTTCATGTGTTCTTTGGATAGTATCTTGATTAATTTCTATTTCAATATTCAATCTCTTCTTATGCTTCATTCAATCCTTAGTCTAGATTTTGGACAAATCTAGGCTTTGGGGGTTGGAAGGCAGAGGACTAAAATTTTTGTGTTACTTCTTTTTTTTGCATGCGTGTTTGTTCATACTTCATATGAAGCGACTTTTTTGCATTTGTGTTGGCACTTGCATGTCATCTAGGATAGACCATTTCTTTCTGTTTTGATATTGCTTAAGAAATGTCTTAGTGTACTATTAACCTCAGCCATACATCACTGTCATGCAGGGAGATGTCCTGTATCTTATTTATTTTTTGAAACAAAAAATTCACATCACCATGCAAGGTGATATTGGAGTTGCCAGAAGTCTTGACAAGGGGGTAACATGGCAACATATAGGTACTGCTTTAGATGAAGATTGGCATCTCTCATATCCATATGTCTTCGACTACAATGGCCAAGTAAGATCTGAATTCCTTAAATTTTAGAACTGTGGCTGGTGCAACAAAGTCTTTAATTCCCATCAATCACTTCACCAAAAAAAAAGAAAGAAAAAGAAAAGAAACACCTATCTGCACACACGCGGTGGCACATGGAATTAGGCTGTAGCTGTATATGAGAGCAGTTGCCTTATCTGGAATCTAGAAGCTGTTGAAAACTTTTGGAGGATACAGTGACCAGCCTTTGTACTCTTTATGCTGAACTTTAGACTAGACAATTTTCTAGATTTGCAAACTTGTTACTTTTTGTCATGTAATGTATATATGTTTAACCTTTCATTTCTTGATTGTCAATGAATTTTTAGATATACATGTTGCCTGAAGGCAGTGCAAAAGGAGAGCTTCGTCTTTATAGAGCACTAAACTTCCCTTTGCAATGGACATTAGAGAAGGTTATCATGAAGAAGCCCCTTGTTGACCCGTCTCTAATCAACCATAACGGGAAGTATTGGATTTTTGGTTCTGATCATAGTAGTCTTGGTAACATGACAAATGGACAGCTGGAAATCTGGTATAGTAGCTCACCACTTGGTCCATGGAAACCACATAAGAAGAACCCTATTTATAACACAGACAAAAGCATGGGAGCCCGAAATGGTGGAAGACCATTTATATACAATGGTAACCTTTACCGGACAGGTCAAGATGATGGCCAGACCTATGGGCAAAGAATACGCCTTTTCAAAAATTGAACTTCTCACTGATGATGATTTTAGAGAACTAGAAGTTTCCCTGGGCTTGGAAGTGTCAAATAAAGGTCGCAATGCATGGAATGGTGCCCGTTACCATCATCTTGATGTGCAACGGTTAAGCTCAGGTAAGTGGATAGGAGTTATGGACGGTGATCGGGTTCCCTCAGCAGATTCGGGCCATCGGTTTGTTCTAGGATTCGGTTCGGCTGTGGCTGTTGCGATGCTTGTTATGATAATGGGTATGCTAGTTGGTGCCGTGAAGTGCATAATCCCCTTAAGCTGGTGCCCACACAACACTGGAAAGAGAAGTGATGTGTTATTAGCTTGGGAAAGTTCGAGCTTGTTTTCTTCCAAACTAAGGCAATATTGTAGTCGCTTGAACAATGCAAGCTCAGTGCTCCATGGCAGGATAAAACCAAACACATGGGCTGGAAAGTTAGTTATCATTTTAATATTTGTGGTTATGTCTGCACTAATGTGCTCCTGGGTTAGGTTTATGTATGGAGGCAATGGTGCGCAAGAGGCATACCCTAAGAACGGTCATTATTCCCAGTTCACAATGTTAACAATGACCTATGATGCTCGTTTATGTATGAACCTTTAAAATGTATGTGAAGCATTATTCAAGATGCTCTTCGGTGCGTGAGATTGTTGTGGTCTGGAACAAAGGTACGCCTCCACATTAAGTGATTTTGACTCAGCTGTGCCACTATGGATCAGAGTAGAGGAAAAGAACTCACTAAATAACCGGTTCAATATGGATCCAGGATAGAGACACGGGCTGTTCTTGAGCTGGATGATGACATCATGATGACATGTGATGATATTGAACGAGGTTTTTAGGGTGTGGCGAGACCACCCTGACCGTATTGTGGGGTTCTACCCTCGACTTGTTAATGGCTTGCCATTGAAGTATCGGGGCGAGAAACATGCCGCAAACATAATGGGTATAACATGATTTTGACTGGAGCGGCTTTTGTAGACCAGGATTTGGCTTTTGGGAGGTATTGGAGTGAAACAGCAAGGGTTGGGAGAGCAATGGTGGACAAGTATTTTAACTGTGAGGATGTGCTGTTGAACTACCTGTATGCAAATGCAAGCTTGTCCCAGACAGTGGAGTACGTGAGGCCGAAATGGGCAATTGACACGTCCAAGTTATCAGGTGTTGCAATTAGCAGGAACACAGATGAGCATTACCATCTCAGAAGCAATTGCCTTACGAATTTTGCAGAGATCTATGGAAGTTTAGCTGAACGGAAGGTGGAGTTTAATGGCAGGAAGGATGGTTGGGATTTGTGTGCATAGGATATACTTCTAAAATCAGGCTGCGTCAATTTTTTTTTAAAGTTTTGTTTTGCTCTTTAGCTTGGCTCCCTTCCTCATGTTGTGAATTTACATTGGAGGGACTTAGGATTTGTAGTAGTTTGGGAGAGAGATGTAAAATTGTTTGGCAGAGAAGCTTGCTTATGATCTTTTAGGGTTTTTTTTTTTCTTTCTTTTGTGGGAAATATATTTGAATGGAAACAGGATCTGGAAAAACATGTGGAACTCCCACAGAAGAGAACAACCTTATTTTTTAAATATAGTTTATTTTTGTTTCGAAGGTAAGTTCTGTCATGTTTTTGTTACACAACCATAAATAGTTTGTTTTGATGTTAGTTTTCAGAGCTTTTAAAAATAGAAACAAGAAAATGCAATGGTAATATTTAATATTTTAGGTATGCAACAAGGTTGGCCTTTGCTGAGTCCTCCATGTATTGAAATTATCAACTGTTGACGACGACTAATTTTTTCAAGTAAAATAATAATGATAATGATAATGATAATAATAATAATAATATTAATATATGACTTTCAATGATTAATCTAATGTAGAAGTCAGACTGTTTACAAGTTGGATGGTAATTTAAATTTAATTTGAATTTGATTTTAATTTTATGATTTTAATTTAATTAAAATATTTAATAAATTTTGATTTCAAATATTCTAATAAAAATTAGTGGATATGATATAAAATTAAATAATTCAATTGATTAAGATTTAAATTTAAATTTTTATAATATTTATTAAATTAATAATTTTTTATATTATAATATTTATAATTTAAAATTATTTAAGATTAAATTGAAAAAATAAAAAATTTAAAAATTAATATGATTGACAGGATACAATAAAAAAATTTAAAATAAAAATTTATTAATTTTTTTTATCAATTTTTAAATTAATTATAATTTAAAAATAAGTAGATTAAATTTAAATTTGCGGCATTGGATCTAAATTCCACCAATTGACTGGACTAATTGATGGGCAGCGGCTTCCAACAACAGTTGAATTCTAGATTTGGGTTCGAGGACAATGGGGTGGTAATTTGTCCAATGTGTTCCTAAACCGCCGGCAGCCCGGACCTGGCCAAGACTTCTCTTGTCCTACGAGGAGGTGGAAGATGGAAAAAGGGTTCCTTGTCACGTGGGGTTTTGAAATCAAAATTTAATATAATATATTACATTTTTAAAAATAATTTGTATTTTATTTTAATTAATTTATACATAACATTATAAATTTTTATCATATTTATAAAGTAAATTTACTATATTATAATTAAAAAATATAATATAATACAATATATGTAATTTAATAAAATAAAAAAGAAATGACAAGGCACCTCCAACCCTCCTATCCTCGATATAAAATTCCCGCACAATGGGTTAAGAAAGGGATACCAGTTCCCACCTCTTGCTCCCTGTTGCCATCTAAGGTCACATGTCCTAAGAAAGGACAGAAAGGGAAGATTAGAAAATAAAAAAAGGAAAAACATAAAATTATAATGATTAATATAAATTATATTATTTAACTGTATGGTGCTATAGGGTTACCATAATTGTAGTTTCTGCCATCACTTTCTCTTCTCGTCACCCTCGACCAAAAAAATGACAAACCAAAAAAAAAAAAAAAAAAAGGCTGGATAAAATTTTTATTTTCTAAAACTAAATAATTTTCTTTTATTTTCTACTAAAGGACACATAACATGCAGACAAAACCATCATTCGTTTAAACTAGTTTTGAGGTGTCCAGATGTTAGCAATCAATTTTGCTCAGTAAAAGTGGGGGCACATCTTGCAAGAGACTGAAGAGTGTATACACAGCATTTATTTATGGTTATTGTCAATAGAGAGAATATACATACATAATATTACATGACAGATCGAAGGACAAAGCCTTAATTTTTAGACGTACTTTGCAAGAACCATGTCATTTGAGCCTTTGGTCTAAACTATTAAGCACTATACGCTTGTTGCCACCATGAAAGGATTTGGTCGCTCGGCTTTTCAAGCTTGTACTTCCAGTTTTTCAACCTAAAAAGCCTAGAAACTAGGATATTACATCTCCAGAACATCTAATCCAAGAGACCATAAGTCGAGAAGTTGTAAAGCCTGTTTTCTTGACTTCTTCGAGTTGAAAATTTTGAAAGCACAAGTTTATAAAATCAGGCTTCTAAACATACCAGACTCATGCAATTTTGGGCTTTTGAACATAAGCTAGAAGCTAGAAGCAAGAAGCTAGGACTCTACACCTTTTGAACATAAGCCTAAACATTACAAAATCATGACTTCTAACTTTTTCACTCTTTGTGGCTTAAATGCCAGAAACCAGAGGCCAGGCTAGCTTACAAGTGTCGGTTTGATTTCTGTCATCTGAGATGGTAACGATAGTGTTGTCTATGTCTTGTTTCAGCAGGCCTTCTCATAGAATTCATCCCTGCAAAGATAGAAGGGAACCAATTCTGCATTTTCTAGCTTTTCTTGAAATGCCAAGTGCAAAATCAAGAGGTCCAATGGCTAGAAGATATGATGAAAAAATGAACTAACAGAATAAACATTTTCAAGTTTTGCTGTTAGTACCAATTATGTTACTGACTAGCCAAGTACCTCCAAAGGAGAATAAAATGAGATAGACATCTCAGTCTGCATTTTCACAATCAATTCCTGCAATTTGGATTAAGTAGAATGACATAAGATGCAGCGAAGAGCCTTCAAATGAAAAGGACAAGGTAGCAATTTTGAATACAAACATGAATTAACCAAAACAAACACAGATATACAACATAACATGACATAACAAGAACTCTTTTGACATTGAATTTTGGCATGATTTACCTCATTTTTATTATAAATTAATTGTTAATGACTTTGGAGATATTTAAGATATTTTAGTATGTACAATAGAACAAGAACCCAACCAATAAACATGAATTGCCTCCTTATACGCCAAGCCTGATTAGTAGACAGTGCTACTGACATGCCAACAGAATTCAATGGAACAAGATTTACATTTCTCTGCATCCAGTATAACATGAAGAAGAGCACTTCAGAAATAAGACAATCTGGGAAAAAAGGTCCCCATAAAAGACACTTGGAAATAAGGGGTTATCTAAATCTAACGCATACATTGGGTGATTTGCAACATGCACCCCTTATAATTAAAAAATTTGGCATTTTGCACCCTAACAAGGCAAAGAGTCAAAAAGGCCTTAGGGTGCAAAGCCGCCAATTTTTTTAATTATGGGGTGTGCATTGCGCAAATCACTCTATTATTAAAGGGAAAGCATTTCTTTGTGAACTTTAAATATTGAATTCCAGAAGAAAGCTTTAGTATTGAATATAAGTTGGTGAACAAAATCATGCTTTTTTTGAATAAGGGCTATTAAATAATAGCAAACAACATAAAAACTTCACACAGAAATTTACAAGAACCTGAAGTATCTAACAACAAATACAAAAGAATCTCAAAATAGGTAACAGCTACCTGAGAAAGATGAAAACTAGGGTTGAATTTACATATAAAGCAGCATATTGGGCGATGTTCTAATGATATAATCACATAAATACAAGAGCTTATGCGGACAGCGTGTGGAAGAAGAGAAGAGGAGAAGAACAAAAGTGAAGGGAATGGCAACCCGTGCCAATATACACAGTTCTCATGCCTATTGCATTAACTCTAATTAATAATGTTTGACTAGACCTAATTTTAATAGGACCACAATGAAAATAAAATCCTAAAATATACACCTGAAAATAATCCCATCTCATAGATAATAATTACTGAAGTTGAGAAGTCCTAAAGAAATAAAAATACCAAAAACAATCAGACTCGGAAAACTATAACATTAAAAAAAAAAAATGTTGTAAATTTTGGTCTTCTCCCTTAATATGTACTCCCATCATGAGACCAACATCAAAATAATAAAAAAAAGAAAGAAGAAGGAAATTCATGTAAAACCTCCTAAGCCAATATTTCAATTCACGGCAAACTAATATTTCAATTTGCAGTTAGAATCTGTTCAAGCACATAGAAGCATGCACAGAATATGCATGAGTTTATCCAAATCAACATAATAAAGGTAAAGAATAGGGTTAGAACAAATTGTGAAACATGCAGCAAAAGATATATAATTTTGTTGAA